TTGTTCCTGGCGATTGTTTAAAACAGCAAACTTCCTTCCTACCCTGAACCTCTCTGGTCCCTTTCTTGCTTTGCTTTTTCACAAATATGTATCACTATTTCAAATACTAGCATTTTACTTATTTTGTGTTTGACTGGTTCTCTACCTCCCACCAGAAAGTAAGCTCACTGCAGACAGGGGCTTGTGATTGCCTCACTTCCCATTGTCTACCCAGCGTCCTGCACAATAAATACTTCTACAATGAATTAATGATCCTAATTGCTGTGAACCAAACCCATCAAGTTGATTCTGACTCATTATGACCCTATAGCACACAGCAGAACTGCTAAGAGGGTTTCAAACTCTACAAATCTTTACAGAAACCAATAGTTCTGGTGTTGTGATACCTAAGGCATTTGACTGCAAACCAGAAGGTCAGGTTCAAATCCACCAGCAGCTCTGCAGAAGATGGAGCAATCTACTTCCTTAAAAGGAGCTCTGGTAGCGTAGTGCCTAAGGCACTTGACTGCTAACCAGAAGGCTGGTGGTGCAAACCCACCAGCCACTCCTTGGAAGGAAGGTTGGGCAATCTACTTCTGTAGTGATACCGCCTTGAAAACCCAAGGAGGGGTCACTATGAGTTGGGTCTGACTTGAGGGCACATAACAACAACAACAACAACAACTTCCTTAAAGGCTTACTGCCTTGGAAACCCAATGGGGGTCACTATGAGTCAGAATCAACTTGATAGCAGTTAGTTTGATTTTAGTTTTTTGGTTTTTTTGTTTTGTTTTTGCTGTGAAATCATAAATTTAAGGCTTTTTGCCCAAGACAATGCAGAATTATTGGTTAACCTAGCTGCAAGATATGAGTTCCTTTGAACAAAGGACCACTACCATCCTCCAAAGAAACTCCTCTGAATTTTTGCACATATTAGACTGTGGGTGGTGCAGATGGTAAATGTGCTCAGCTGTGAACCAAAAATTTGGTAGTTCAAGTCCATGGAGAGGAACCTCAGAAGAAAGGCTGGGCAATCTACTTCTGAAAAATCAGCCACTGCAAGTCCTATGGAGCACAGTTCTACTCTGACTCACAAGGGTCGGATGTGACTTGATGGTAACTGCTAACTGGTGGGGAGAGGTGGTGTGCATGTGTGTATTGTGGGTGGATGCTGGGGGAAGAGGCTGTCAAGCCCTGGGGTCATTAGATCCACTTATTCTTTCTTAGCACTCTCTTCTGAAATGTGGTAAGGGGCAGGGCATCCATCAGAATCTTGAAGACAAGCCAAAGAATCTTTTCTAATTTCATTGTTTATTGCCTTTTGCTAATGGACATATAATTATCAACATTCCACTTTGCCTACTGTTTGCTCGTAGGGCCTCCTGAAGGAGTTGGATCACCATTTGCTGTCAGCGGCAGAAGTTTGCAAGCTAGCAGCTGCTTTCACTCCCTATACATCCCTGTTTGTGCTCACTGCTATGGTAAGTACTTTCAGTCCCTGGCTGTACCTCTCCCCAGGGCTCTCTCAGATGTAACCAGCACAACTAGTGAGGGAATGGTCATACCTGGTAAAGCAGGCTTCATGCCACATTATTGGAAATTGTGGTAAGAATCCATGTATGGAAAGGTTTTAGCAGTCAGAGTGGCAACTTCCTGGTAGGAGCTAAGGAACATTAGCTTGTCTGCTCTACAGCATTGGGTCCCAGGCCCAGCTGTACATCAGAAGTACCCAAAGAGCCTTTTCAAAATACATATTCCTGGGCTCTACCTAGATCTACTAAATGCAAATCTCTGGGGGTAGAATACAGAAGTCTATAATTATTAAATATCTCTCAAGTTCAGAAAAAACTGCTCTAGACTTTTGAGTATTAGTAAATGAATGATGTGTGTATATATAATAGCTTATTTGTGTAGAGAAACATACCATGCCCATGTCCTGTGCATAGACTCTATTTGCTAAGACTAGCAACAACAACAACAACAACAACAAATTTATCATCATTAATCAAAATGTTTAAGGGCTACAATAGGATGGTAGTTAAAGCTAATTTCTTAACCCTTCATGCCAGCCAATTATACATATCCTGGCCCCTTTTCTTGATTCACCAAAAATAGCCTCGGTTTCTTAATTCAATCTTTGATTGTGCATTTACCTCAGCATTATCTATGGGACATGCTTATTTTCCCTTAATATTTCTAATGACTGTCCTCTAGAAATTAAGTTTTTTCCTGATGCACTTCTAGTTTCCAACTCATCTGATTTTGTATTTTCCTCAGAACATCCGTGGCACGTGCTTATTGTCTTACAGTAGTTCTAATGACTGTCCTCCAGAAATTAAAAATTTGTACCTGTATGAAGCCAAAGAGGCTTTTGAAATTGGTCTCCTCACCAAGAGAGATGATGAACCAGTTCTTGGAAAACAGGAACTTCATAGTTTCATCAAAGCTGCTTTCTCTCTTACCACAGTACACCGAAGACTCCATGGAGAGACTGAGACAGTCCACGCAGCAAATCAGCTATGTAGTGAAACTATGGGAAAGTTGTATGCTTTCAGCACTTCATCTGGGAGTCAAGAGAGGGAAACTCTGTCTCAGGAAATCATGTCTATTATCACCCAGGTGAAAGATCATCTACAAGTTCAAAGCTTCCCAAATTTGGATGGCAGGTCTTATGTTCCAGAGAGCTTCAAGAGCTCATTGGAAAAATTCATTTTGCATGGACAAGTGGATTTCCAAAAACTCCTTGATATCTATTCACAGCACCATACTTCAGTGTGTGAAGTATTTGAAAGCACTTGTAGAAACAACAAAAATAAACTGAAAGATACAGGAGTCTGTATCACTGTTCTAAAAACAGAAACAAAAACCATAGAGACTGTGAGTGCTACTGAAGACAAACATTTTCAAAAAGTCATGAGAATACCTTCCTCCCAAATGGCCAGGAATGCTCAGGAGAAACTCAGCAGTATAGGAAGGAAAAACTGGATCCATTCTGGTACATATCGATGCGCTGTGGATGAAGATATGGAGACTGAGACTGAGCCACCAGATCGTAGCAATGGTAGGAGAGCTGGTGTGAACACATCTCTGAATGACAGCCAGAGTTCCAGTTCTTGGAGCAAGTTATCAGACTTTAGTTCTTCTACAAGCTGGGAGGAAATGAATCATAATGATGATTGGTCAGATGGAAAAGAGTCTAAGAAGGGATATCTTGTGGATACTCAGTGTTCTACTGCCCTGTCTGAAGAGATGGGACACGATGGAGAAAATAGTGCTGTACATTCATTGCCTTCAAAGATTCATGATCTTCCTCTCCAGGTGTCCAAGGGTGATAGAGTCGAGTCTTCTCGAAGACAACTACACAATCACATGTCCTTGACGGCCTTCACACCTCATAACACAAATGCTTTCTTGGCCTCTGGTGCAGAGTCATTAAAAGGTGCTCCAAAGGGTATTGAGGAAGTCAGAAATATAGGACCCAGTAATGCTTCTGCTTATTCCAGACACTCTTGTGGGTCTGCTTCTTGGTCTTCTTCTGATTCTGATGGGTTTAAGAACATACCCATTTGTTCATTGTTCCAAGTGGAGAAAACTTTTGAAAAAATTTCAGGAACCAATTGCAATGCTGAAGACAAGCATGGGGAAGAAAAGAGAGAAAAAATTAATAAAAGAGGCACAACACCTATATTTAAAAATAGCTCCTTCTGGGTTGACCCAGAAGGTGAAATAGCAGAAACTACAGAAGATGTGCCCTTTGACTTTCCTATAGTCACAGATGATTCTCTGAGCAATAGTTCCATGATGGCAGGTAGCTCTTTCACTCCTTGTTGGCCTGGCCAAAAGCATGACCTCATAAATAATGGTTCAACCAAAGAGAAGGACATCGACCCTGATGCTCCCACAGTGGATGAGGAGGGACAATTGCTTGATACAGATGTTCACTCCACAAGTAGATGTGGTTCTCACAGACCACATCTTGGTCAAGGGGCTAAGAACCCTAATTCTTCTGTAAGCAATAAAATTCCTTTCCCTATGTTCAGAGAGGACTGCACTACCACAGAGGAGGGAAATGAACTTGTAAATGTGCTAAACTGCAGCCAAAACTCTAGCTCATCCTCAGTGTGGTGGTCTAGATCATCTATGTTTTCCAGTGGTTCTTCTGAGGGGGACAGCCCATGGTCCATCCTGAATTCCAGTGGAAGTTCTTTCATTTCATTGCCAGGAAAGACAAGGCAAGAGATCCTTGAGGCTTGCATCCTGAAGCCTAATGACTTTGAAAAACTCTTGGCAGGAGTGAGGCATGATTGGTTGTTTCACCGGCTGGAGAATACAGGAGTTTTTAAGCCCAGTCAACTCCACCAAGCACACCGTAAGTATACCCTATTCAGTGGGCATAACCTCAGGAAGTATGTAAGTTTGGGGTCCTCTAAAGAGATTGTCAGGAGCCCTGTTGGTGTAGTAGTTAAGCACTCAGCTGCTAACCAAAAGTCTGTGGTTTCAAACCACCAACTGCTCTGCAAGACAAAGATATGCACTCTTTTTCTGTAACCAAAAACCAAACTCACTGCCATCAAGTTGACTCCAACTCATAGTGACCCCTCCTTGGGTTTCCAAGGCAGTATCTCTATGGAAGTAGATTGCCTAGTCTGCCTTCTGAGGAGTGGCTGGTGGGCTTGAACTGCCAGCCTTCTGGTTAGCAATCAAATGCCTTAGTCACTATACCAACAGGGCTCCCTCTATAAAGATTACAGCCTTGGAAACCCTATGAGGCAGTTCTACTCTGTTCTATAGGGTCCTATAGGGTCACTGTATGATGGAATTGGCTCCATGGCAATGAGTACGGGGAGAGTTTTTATGTAGATTACTTAAAGCCCATGAAAGACATAGGTCCCTGTTATGTTTTGTGAGTATACAGAAAAGTATATATTTTATGGGATTCCACCATATTTTGTATGATGGACCCTAATCCACCACTGCCATCAAGTTGATTTCAACTCATAAAGGCCCCCAATGGGTTTCTGAGTTGGTAAATCTTTATGGAAACAGATTGGCCCATCGTCCATCTGTGGAGTGGCTGATGGGTTTGAACTGCCAACCTTCTGGTTAGCAGTCTAATGCCTTAGACACTGCACCACCAGAGCTCCTAATGATGGGTCCTAATGGTTACAAAGAATAGAAACTCATTCAAGTTACCTCATATCAAAGCAGTTTGTTTCTAGGACACATGAAGCAGTAAGAGATGGGGATCTCAGTGCACTCAGGAAAAGCCATAATTCAGGGACTAAAATAGCTTTGGATTGTCATTGCCAACTAGTTGATTTCAAAAGTCAATTTGTGTCATCCACTCAACATCAAAATTGTCCATTGATTCTCTTTATCATCTTCTCTATTTTACTACCCTCACTCAAATTCTAGGACAAAGTTTGACTTGGTTAGAGAACATTTATCTGTTGGGCAGAGATTTTCACATCTGCTCACCTAACAGATCTCTTGCCAGCTGATGGATTAAGTCTCCACTCCACTTGCAATCTTCAGCTACTTCTTGCTTAAGGGACTGCCCAAGCTCACTTCCTAAGCCTGGGCTGGGCAGTCCCACAGTTTATGTGTCTAATATAGCTTAGAATTGGTGGAGAAGGTGGGAGGAAGACAGAGGTTCTTCTCTTAACCTAGAGGAGGTTCTGTATTTTTGCCTTCCCAAGATACAGAAGAATTATTTGAATAAGAAAAAAACCTATTGCAAAGTGCATTTCAGGAAAAGCAAACTACATGGATTGCTAAGCACTGATGCTAAAGCAGTGGCCCCACATGAGAATTTCCTGGGGAAATTTTTGAAGCTGCCAATACATCCTCCTTCTTCCTTCTTCTACCCCATTGCCCCATCCCAAGATTTCCAACTTAATAGGCCTGGAATGTGGAATCAGGCACAAGTATATTTTAAGAGTTCCCAGTAATTCCATATAAAATCAAGGTTGAGAACGTCTGCTTCAGAGTAGTCCAATATTTTGTCTGCCATCTTGAGCCAGACTACAATACAAATAGGTTAATACCAAAAGAAGCAAATGTTTTAGTAAAAGTGTTTCCCTGCCTACTATAAGATTCTGAAATTTCCGAATCATGTTTACTAGATTTATATAATTTCTTTAGTGTTATGTCTGTGTATCAAGTTCTGATAAAAACTTGATCACACACTGGGTGAAAAAGCACACTGGGAGAATCAAGGCTCAAAGTTGCAGAAATAGAACAAAGTTATCCATTTTCTCCTTTCTTCTTCCCTCAATTCACCACTCTTCTGATGGTGTGCAAACAGTTTGCCTTCCATTCCTATTTCCAGCTTCTCTGATCGCATCCCTAACCCAGTCACCATTGCTCTTTCTCCCACACCAGCCCCGTAGGTCTGCTTTATTTTAAATATTTTCTCTCCTTAATCTCTCACTCATTCATGCATTACCACAACCTACACACAGAAGGTTCCTTTAATTTCTACATGAATACCAAAATGTTGCATTTTTCCTTAGGGTTCATTTTGGTCATTCCCCTCAAATGGTTCCTTTCTTGCTAGGATTGTTCCTCTTTTCCTGCAATGGAGGCCATCCTTACATTTTTCTTATTATCTTCTCCTTGTTCAGTTGTGTTTACATCATTGTGTAGTAGCTACATTTCCTAAACTACTTATTGGACTTTCCCTACTTAAATAAAATGATTAAGGGTGACCTCTAATATGTAACCAAGGATTCTTGGTGTGGCTAGGAACTTCCAGGTAAAATTATAAATTCTGATCTTATCTGACTCCTTGCCATCACAAACTTGGCAAATAAAAGCCCATTCTTCATTGTAATTTGTAAAGTTTTACCTTTTTTATTGTACTTTACTTTGTGTTAGGAGTCAGAAGAGGTTGGAGTAAGAAAATACAAAGCCAAGTTGAAGATTTCAGATGACATGGTTTAGGACCTATGCCACTTAAATTTTAGTCATAAATTTTAATATCTTTTTCAAACCTAGATCTATTTTCATCATATCATTTTTCCAGATGCTCTATTGTTAAAATATTCCAAGAAATCTGAATTGTGGACAGCCCAGGAAACTGCTGTATATTTTGGGGACTACCTGAATGTGAAGAAGAAAGGAAAACAAAGAAAAGCTTTTTGGGTTCATTATCTTCATCAGGAGGAAATTCTGGGGAGGTATTGCTTAAAACCATCTATATCACTAATGTAAAATGAGATAATTTTGCTTCTCTGTTAACTAATTATTCATGAAATTCTGAAGGGGCTGAAAATATTGGCCAAAATATATGTCATCAGATTTCCTCTTCTTCCTCCTTGTTAACTGATAAATTAATAAAACAGTATGGATAATCTGTGCTATGTTAGCTATTGTATCATATACATGACCTCAAACCTATCATGGAAACATTTTTAACCCTATTGTGCAGATTAAAAAAGAGAGAGAGAGTTTCTGGCCATATGTCAGGACAAAGATTTGTGAACACGCTCATTAAAAATGTGGACAAAAAGGCTATTTAGACTCTGAAAGCCACTCTTTTAAATAAATGGGTGTGTCTTCATAAAGGTAAAAAAAAAAAAAATCTCCTGAATCCAGGGTTGAAGCATGTCTAGGGACATAAGTGATTACTGAGCTTTTGTTCCATGGAAGGTAGAGGATATGGGGGACAGTAGCAGCTGATGATAAAATCTACACATGAAATAGAATAAGAAGATTCAAGACAATCACATAAAGCAGAGACCCAAGAATGAGTAAATCCTTGAAGAAAAGGTTATCTTTAAAAATCCTACCTTACTGCAATAAATTATTGGAAATTCTTGTTTGGCTTTATTTCTTGATGAAACCTCACCCAAAAAATTAGTGATTCACACTGCTTGGTCACAGCCTGCTACCCAGAGGGACTGAGTAGTTGAACCTGTGGGCTCGGGACCATAGTCCCAGAGGACATCAAGTTCAATTGGCATAACATACTACACAAAACATTGTTCCACCTCCTACTGTGGTGAGTAGTGACTGGGATCTTAAAAGCTTGCAAGCTGCCATCTAGATGCAATGATGGGTCTCTTGTCCAGAGTAAAGAAGAATGAAGAAAACCAAAAGTTCATGGAAACAATTAGTCCTAGCAACTGGTACACCATCCAATCTGCAGCCTATATGACTATGAGACCAGAAGAACTAGATGTTACACAACTACTACTGTCAACCACCTGGAAGAGGATCTATGTAGGAGATCCTGGATAGAGAGGGAGAACATTGTGAAACAAAACTCAAAATCATTTCGGGAAAAAAAAAAGAGAGAGAGAGAGAGAGAGAGGGATCAAGTTTGCTGGTCCGATAAAGCCTGGTGGAACCACTAAGACTATGGCCCCTAGCTGTCCTTCAGGTCTGGAATTGAACTCATGCCTGTGGCTTCCAGCCAAACAATAGACAGGCATATGAGTTGAACATTTACCTGAGGTAGATACACGCCTTGGACAGAACAAGCATGGGAAAAAGAAGGGCTGCTTATGCACAGGGAGACAGCTTAGGGGGCAGGAGTGCATGGAGGGATGGACACAGGGAAGAGGTTACTATGGGAAGGAAGGGGGAGGGGAGCTGTTGCAGTGTGGTAAACTGTGGTCAATGTCATGAGACAAAGTGTATGTGAACTGCTGTATGTAAAGTATTTGCTCTGTAAATTTTCACCCAAATCACAATTTAAAAAAAGGGGGGGGGGATAGTGACTCAGATGATTCTCATTGGGTTTGAGATCTAATTTTACAACATTTCTGTATTTTAAAAGATGTATAAGCCAAAACTTTTAATTTAATGTTAACTTTGTTATTTACCCAAATGAAAATAATATATATATATATATATATTAAAAAAAAAAGTAAAAGACGAAAATTAGGGGTCCTTTGAACAGTGAAAGTACATTGTAATTTGTAAAGTTTTCTCAAGAAGGTTATTGATACTACAAAACATGTCATTGCATTTTGTGTTAGACTGGGTTCTCTAGAGAAGCAAGATCAGTAAATCTTAGGAAAATGACTCACATAGTTATAGAAGCTGACACATCCCAAGTTCTTGGATCAAACATCAAACTGGAGCCTTTTCCCAACTCACACAGCTACAGGGGCTGATGAGTTTAAGGTTGTCAGGCAGTATACTGGCTGTTGACCAGTGAATAACAAATCTAAGATCACCAGGCATAATGGTGGATCATTCACTCATGGACAGTTGTAGGCAGCACAACAGGATCCAGACCCACAGAAGGTTCAAGCATTCCATAAACTGGAGACCTTCCTTAAAGTTGCTTCTTATATACTGGAAGCAGACCATATCCCTAAGGCAGCTACTCAGCTGCTCCAATAGATTCCACCATGGAGTCAATTACCAATCTCACCATGGGGAATAACTACATCCAGCTGCCCAGCCACTCAAAGAAGCCCAGCCAAGTCAACATACAAACTTAACTACCACACATTTATTATGTATCAGGCCTTGATTTAAGTGATTTATTTACTGATTCAACTAAATCCCCACAAAATCTTATGAGACAAGTACTATATCTCATCTTAAAGATGAAGAAACTATGGCACAGAGATTTTAAGAAATTTTCCCAAAGACACACAGCTAAATAAGGGAATCAAGATAGGAGGATATGAAATGGGAAGTAAAAGAGAAAATAAGAGACATGGAGGATGGAATGAGAGGATTCAATATACATCTGATCAGATGAAAGTAAGAGCGAACAGAAAAGAAGAAATATTTAAATAAATAATACCTGACAATTTTCCAAGTTCCCAAAAGCATTAATCTTCAAATATGGAAATCACAATGAATCCCAGATAACATAAGAAGAGGAAAGAAGAAAGAGGAAGGAAGGAGAGAGGGAGGAAGGGAGAAAAGAAAGAAAGAAGGTAAAGTGGCATAAATACATTCCTAGATACACCACAGTCAAACTTCAGAATACCTAGGACAAAGAAACCATCTTTAAAGTAGTCAAAGAAAAAGACAGATTATATACAATGAAATGTCAGTTAGCCATACATCTGATTTTTCTGTAAAAATAAGGAATCCAGAGACAATGGAAGTCAAATACTCAGGGAAACTTATCTTTCATAGAGGAAAGCAAAATAAAGATATTTGCAAGTTAAAAGAAAAAGAAGACTGAAAGAGTTCACTACAAATCTTTCTTAAAAAATGATCCAAGAAAAATGGTTTAAGATAAAATGATACAGAAATCTGGGCCTCTGCTCCCATGTTGATATCCTACACCTAGGACTAGAACTCCTCTGCCAGGACACTCAACAAATGCACCAGAATCGCACCTTCAGGGTTTGCTCTTTCATGCACCCCTCTTGCCTCAATGACCACAGCAAATTTCTAAATTGGTTCAAAGCCTCTGTAGGTCAGGGTCTCCCAAGAGCAAAACTGCTGCAAGCCTTGGCAGAATGCCTCCATGTGACAACTGTTCTTGTGCAGGTTGCTCTTTGCCATCTGGGTTCCTCCTTTGCAGCCTCCACTGAACCTCAGCTAACTGCATGGCCAGAACTGCAGCCTCCTTAGTTTCTGTTATCATGTTGGATTTAGAAACTTCTGGAGAGGGTTTACCCTCGTTGAGGCCTATGACTCAATTAACTCCTTTTGATTTTCAGAAGTCACTCTGGGTAATGTGAAATTACTAGTGAACTCATCAGTTTATAGCACAAATAAACTACAGTGAAGTGTAATATTATTTTGCTCATTTCAACTTACTATTATGTATCTTCTCTTTCCAACTATGTTATAAGGCCTTAAAAGATACAAATTGTGTTTCATACTTTCTTCAGAAAACACTCAGGCGTAGGGCAATGTTGTGCAAACGTAACTACTGATGGGAAATAAGTTCTTTAAGATAAAGTAATAATAATAAGAGGAAGGGATAGAGGAAACTCAGACTGGTTAATTAACCATGGTAAGATCATACTGCAGTTATTAAAGATCTGGCTCCACAGTCTGTGCCCTTTTCAGTTGCATGCTGACTCTCTTGACTTACCAAAGTCTCATGAACTGCTACATTAAGTGCACGCTTTCCCATTAGAATCAGTATCATTCTGAGTCAGCTAGCATTAACAGTGTTGCATTGTCCATCAGCCTCATAAAGTTCTTTAATCACCAGATATGTCAAAATCATGAATATTAACTATATAACTCAGAGAAACAGTAACATCTGTCAAGAACTTTTGCATCTCTCTTTTGATTTCCTCTCTCTCACTCAATAGTAAGTAAAATCATTTTTCCATTCATATATTTTGTTTCCATTCATAGGTATGTTGGGAAAGAGTATAAGGAGCAGAAGGGACTCTGGCACCATTTCACTGATGTGGAACGGCAGATGACTGCACAGTACTATGTGACAGAATTTAATAAGAGACTCTATGAACAAAAGATTCCAACACAGATATTCTACATTCCCTCTACAATATTACTGGTAAGATTAAGGAAAGCAAGGGGCTGGTTAAATAGCCTATCCATATTCATAAGGTTAGATTTCTATTACCACCCTATCTACCTCCACCTCATTCTGCTGAAATCTCATATACTCAGTTCCTAGGTTCCTTTATCTACTTTATGTTCTTCAGCTACTTAAACAGATAATGCAAGATATGCCACCCTGGATAAATCATTTGGATCTTCCAAGTCACACTTAAATATCTATTGATACTGGGACATGGTCCCACATTTTTAGTATACTTTCCTTTTGCATTGCCTCTGTGATTTCAAAAAAGATACCACAGAGATCATATCTAGTACAAATTATCCTCTCAATACGATGTGTAAATCCCATTTTATATCTGTTGGTCCCCACCCTACATAACCAAAGGATTACTAAGCCTTTGCTTAAACACTTCAGTAAGAAAAAAATTACTACCCTTTTGCTTGCTAATAATTCTAATTGTTTAAGACCAAACTTCTAATTTCTGTCTATGAATTAGAGCTCTGCCTTCTGGGACCCATTGATATTAATCTCTTTTTCCCAAGATATCTCTTTGAACATATCAAGGCAACTAACACTACTGACTTTTCTCTTTTTTGAATTAAGAATATTCTGCTCTGCCAAAATATGTTATCTCATTAGTTTGTTTATGCATACAAGAATTTTTACATTGACCAGAGACATTTTTGGACCCATTTTTTATTACTTATAATAACAATGGTGATAATCTATTTCATACCTTCTTTATCTCAAGAATTGTGCCAGGCATTTTATAAGCATTAACTCCAATCTTTGAGACAAGTGGCACAGAAGTACTTGAGCTAGAATTCCAACCCAGAGGCCCAGTGTGTGATCCAGCTTCTTTTCCTTGGCTAGCACCTACGATAGTCACCTCATGACCTAATATTTAATTGAGCATTTTAGTAAAAGAATAATAATCAGTTTAGATTCTATTAGATACAACATACAATGTTAAGCATTTTATATGCATATTCTCATATAATTCTTTAGCAATCCTATGAAGAAGTTTTGGGGATTTTTTAACTTTTTATTGTGATATGGGTGCAATTTTATAAAGCAGATTCATTTTACATTCAACAGTTCATATACAATTTGTTCTCAACACTGATTATAATCCCCACAATGTAACAAGTCTCCTCTCACCTCCTCCCAGTGGTTACCCCTTCCCTGTGCCCTTCTTACCTATGCATTCCCACCTCCCTAGATTTCTCCCTCTGTAAATGCTGTCCTTCTGATCTCCCTTGGTTGACTGTCCGAAGAAATGCACCTCCCTGATCTAGTTGTTTAGCTTAGGCCTGTCTATTGTTTGGCTGAGAACTGAGCCATGGGAGTGAATCCAATTCCAGGCTGAAAGGGTGACTTGAGGCCATGGTCTTGGGAGCTCCACCAGTCTCTATCCAATGATTAATCCTGGTCTTTTTTATATTTTTTACTTTTGTTCCACATTTTTTTCCCACTCTATCCATGATCTCTAATTTTGATCTCTCTCTGAGTGGCTGGCATTGATAGCCAGGCACTATTTAGTTCTTCTGGTCTCAGTGTCATTCAGGCTGAGGTTCCCATGGTTCACTGGTCCCTTGGACTAATTTTTTCCATACATGTTTGATTTTCTTCACTCTTCTTTACTCCAGATGAGAAGATACCAACAGCTGCATCTCAGATGGATGCTCACAAGTTTGTAAGACCCCAAGTCTTATAAGTAGGATGTAGAACAATATTTTTGTGTACTATGTTGTGCCATTTGAGCTTGATGTCCCCCATGACCATGACCCTGAGCCCACAGGGCCAATGATTCATTCCCTCAAAGTGTTTAGTTGTTGCTAAGTTATTTTTTTTCCCTTGTTAGCTCTATAATTCATATGGCCTTTTTATAACACATACAAATACATATTTAAGAATATATATTGTCTGCCAAACGTATGTATAAAACCAAACCAAACTCACTGCCATTGAGTCAGATCTGACTCACAGTGACCTCTCTTTGGGTTTCTGAGGAGATATCACTACTGAAATACATTGCCCAATCTTCCTTCTAAGGACTGGCTGGTGGGTTTACACCCCCAGCCCTATGGTTAGCAGTCAAATACCTTAGGCACTACACCACCAGAGCTGCTAAACCTATGTATGGTCATGGTTATATTCCCATTTGCCTACCCATACCTGATCTTCTTGCCTGTCTACCTATGCATCTACCTGTAGATTATTGTTTGTTATGACCGATAATTCAATATTGAGTATGTAATAGCATTTACCTTTGCTGTCTGCACCTCCTGTGCACTTTTCTGTGTCTTCCTTTTCCTTGGTGATACTGTACTGGCCCCAACTTTGTTATATTGCCTTTATCTTCACCCAAATCAACACGTCTCTTAACTAGTCAACAATTTTCCCTCTCCTCCCTTCTCATCCCGGGTAACCAACAAAGAAAATTTCCCTCCCTGCTTAAACCTTTCCTTGACTTTTTATAATAACAGACTCTGAAGTAGTTACCATTAAGCCCATTTTACAGATGAAGAAACTGAAATCTAGAGAGGTTAAGTAACAAAGCTCCTAAGGTGTAGAGCCTAGGTTCAAATCAAGAGCTACCTAACTCCAAAACCCAAGGCCTTTCATATTACACTACACTGCCCTCCCCATTACTGTTTTTCAGATTTTAGAGGACAAGACAATAAAGGGATGTGTCAGCGTGGAACCCTACATCCTGGGAGAATTTGTAAAATTATCAAATAACACAAAAGTGGTGAAAAAGGAATATAAAGCCACAGAATATGGGTTGGCTTATGGCCATTTTTCTTATGAGTTTTCCAAACATAGAGATGTTGTGGTTGATTTACAAGGTATGTCAAAAAGGAGGATTATTTTTTATTTTTGCTGTATGTGAGCTTACAAGCTGGTTCTACCAAACATTATTTGATAGATTGCTTCAATATATAAGCTACTATTTAGAATTAAGTTCTTTGATTTTACTATATGGAGCAGTTGATACCTGAAAAAAAAAAAAATGTCTAAAGCTTCTACAAGACTCTAAGGTATCACATAATCACTGAGAGAATCTGATTCACATTCTGTTAGGTTTGGTTCCAGAGTAAACCCATGACAGCTTTCCCAACCACTCACCCACCCAATTAAAATTGAGTGATGTGGATTTTTTTATTATTGCATTTTTTGATGTGTAATGATCTTTCAACCCTTTCTCTTCCTCAATCCTTTATTCACATTGCAAGTATCATGGTGGATTTCACAATTGGAGTCATTAATGAACAGAAAGCTAACTTCTTTTAACATTTGTATTATTATTTCCAGTTGGGCATTTTATTTATCATATTTCTATTAATCAATACTGGGTAGTTAAATCATACATGAGATCTATTATAATGATTTCTAGTAATAATTCTCTAACCACTCTCAAGATATTCCCTATACCACCTGTCCATAGCATTTATGACTGTCATAAGTGGACCACTGTGGTGCAGTGACTAAAGTATTTGGCTGATAACCAAAAGACTGTTGGTTCAAACCCACCAGCCACTCTGCTGGAGAAAGATATAGCAATCTGCTTCCATAAGGATTCATATAGCAGTTCTACTCTGTCTACAAGGTCTCTATTAGTAGGAATTAACTTGACAGCAGTGGGTCTTGTTTGGGTCACATTATATATTTTACTTACTTATATTGTTTATTGACGTGACCCTTCACAAGAATATTGGCCCAATGAATTCAAGGATGTTTGACTGACTTGTTCACTACCACACCCCAGTGTCTACAACCATCCTTTGTAGAATATATGCACTCAATAAATACTTGTTGAATAAATGAATAAATATATGAACTAATGAGTAGGGCACTAAAGAAACTTCTGAATATGAAAGAAATATTCAATATTGTGATTTTAATATAAGTGCATTTTACTACTCCTTAATTCCTTGAAAATCAGTAATCTGGGTGTCATATTTGACTAATATATTTACCCAATATTCTCCTTTTAGCCAATAATTAGATTACACAACACCAAATGTCTTATCATAAATTCATTAAACATAAACCTCAGTAAAAGCAAGTTTTAAAAAGTCTAAGTGTATACACACACATATATACATGTATATATATATATACATATACACATGTGTATGTGTGTGTGTGTGTATATATATATATGTATGTACTCTGTGTGTATATATATATGTGTGTGTGTGTATATATCTATATAGATAGATAGATACATACATACATACATACATACACACACACTTTTTTTTTCCAAAAAAAATTTTACTGAATTTATCCCACTGCCACTGAGTTGATTCCAACTCAAAGCAACACTATGGGACAGAGTAGAAGTGCTCCATTGGGTTTCCAAGGCTGTAAATCTTTACAGAAACAGACTGCTTCATCTTTTTCCCATGGAGAAGCTGGTAGGTTTGAACCACTCACCTTTTGGTTAGCAGCCCAGTGTTTTAACCACACCACCAGAGCTCCTATTGACACTTACAGGTATTTATTACTTAGACATATTCATTTCTCTTTTAGGTTGGGTGACTGGTAATGGAAAAGGGCTCATCTACCTCACAGATCCCCAGATTCACTCTGTTGACCAGAAAGATGCCACTACTAATTTTGGAAAGAGAGGGATTTTTTATTTCTTCAATAACCAGCATGCAGAATGTAATGAAATATGTCAACGTCTTTCTTTGAGTAGATCTTCAATAGAATGACTGAGTAAGTCGTGGACTATCTGGATTGGCAGTGTGATAGACTTTAGTGCTACTTGCTAATAATAAGTTATTCTCTTTCCAGGCATATAGAACATGGCACAGTTTGGTCCCTTTGGTCTTAGGCAGGACCATGTGACCAGTTCCTGGCAATGATTTCACCAAAGGAATTGACAAGTGTCACTTTCAGATCCACATCTAAATGTCAGTGTGGGACCTTCCTTTCCCTCTGCAAGTCCCTTTCTCTCTACCACAATTACTAGGAATGCTTCAGAATAAAACAGAAAAGAGTCCCAACTGACCAACATTGTAAACAAAGCATACCTGAGAAATAAACTTTTCTTATTTAAGCCATTGAGATTTATGAGCTTTTTATCACTATTGAGACTGATTCTACTGGTCTTTTCTATATTAACTTAGGAGCTCTTTATTTAAAAATTTAGGCCTTTCTTTGTGATACGAACTGCAATTTTTCTCACAGTTGATCTTTTGACTTTTATTTTGTGTATGAACATTTTTCTATGAAAAATTTTTTTTGATGTATAATAGGATTCATCAGCCTTTTATTTTATGGCTTCTTAGTCATATGTTATATCTTCTCTAGTCTGAGGTTTTATTTTTTTTTTTTAATTCTCTCTATTGCCTTCTATTTTATTTACATTTATTAAAGGAATGAGGGGGGAAAAATTTATCTTTTTTCTAGATGACTACCCAGTTTTTGTCCTATTTACCGAATTGGTCATATTTCCTACTGATTTATCATATACTAAATTGTTGTAAGGACTTACGTACTTTCTAATTGATTCCATTCTTTTATTTGTCTATTTTTGTACCAGTATCATAATGTTAAGATCCCTGGTAGTACAGTGGTTAAGCATTTGGCTGCTAACCAAAAGGTCAGTGGTTCGAACTCACCAGCTGCTCTGCTGGAGAAAGATGCAGCAGTCTGCTTCCATAAAGCCTTGAGAAACCTATGGGGCAGTTCTACTGTGTCCTAGAGGGTCACTATGAGTCAAATCAATTCAATGGTAATTTTTTTCGTATCATAATGTTTTTACTACTAAATATTTATATGTTTCAATATTTGAAAGTGCTAGTATTCCCTTGTTATACTTCTTTCCAGGTCTTTCTATTTTCTGCTATATATTGTCATCTGTACTTTCGAATCACCATATCTTACTCTCCATCCATGTTTTTGAAAATCCTGCTATTATCTGAAGGAGTCTTGGTGGTGCAGTAATTCAGGCATTCGGCTGCTAAACAAAACATCAGTGGTTTGATCCAAACTACCAGCTGCTCTGCAGAAGAAAGATGAGGCAGTCTGGTTCTGTAAAAATTTACAGCCTTGGAAACCCTATGGGGGTTGCTATGAGTTGGAGTCAACTCTATTGCAATGAGTTTCATTTTGGTTTGGTTCTTATTTGAACCATGTTAAACTAACTCAGAGGGAATTAACATCTCTGTAATGTGGGCCCTTTCTGAAAAGATGGTATGTGTTTCCATTTGTTCAATTCTTTTTGTGTACCTTTATGCAACCTCACCACTACTCATCTGTCGGTTTGTCATATTTGGCTGAAAGCAGAGAATATCATAAAGATGTTTACTTGTGTTTTATTGACTCTATAAATGCATTCACCTGTGCGTATCATAACAAATTATGGATAACTTTGTAAAGAATGGGAATTTGAGAACATTTAATTGTGTTCATGTGGAAACTATAAGTAGAAACTTATAGTTTATATTATATAAACTATAAGTAACCAACAGGCAGTTATTCTAACAAAACAAGGGGATACTACTTAGTTTAAAATCAGGAAAGGTGTACATCAGGGTTGTATCTCTCCACCATACTTATTCAATTTGTAAGCTGAGCAAATAATCTGAGAAGCTGGACGATATGAAGAAGAACATTTCAGGATCAGAAATGGAGGAAGACTCATTAACAACCTGGAATATGCAGCTAATACAACATTGCTTGCTGGAAGTGAAAAGTACTTGAAGCACTTACTGATGAAGATCAGAGACTACAGCTCTCAGTATGGATTACACCTTAACATAAAATAAAAATCCTCACAACTGGACCAATAAGCAACATCATGATAAACAGAGAAAATATTGAAATTGTTATGGATTTGATTTGATGTGGAGCCACAATCAAAGCTCATGGAAGCAACAGTCAGGAAACCAAAAAATGTATTACATTGGCCAAATCTGCTTCAAAAGACCTCTGTAAAGTGTTAAAAAGCAAAGATATCACTTTGAGGACTAAGGTGTCCCTCACCCAAGTGATGGTATTTTCAATTGCTTCATGTGCATGCAAAAGATGAACAATGAATAAGGAAGACCACAGAAGAATTATGCCTTTGAATTATGGTGTTGGTGAAGAATATTGAATGTACAATGGACTGCCAGAAGAATGAACAAACCTGTCTTAGAAGTACAGCCAGAATAGAATACTCGCAAGAAATGAGGATGGTGGGACTTTGTCTCACATACTTTGGACATGTTATCAGGAGGGAACAGTCCTTGGAGAAGGACATCATGCTTGTTAGAGGATCAGCAAACAAGAGGCAGATCTTCAGTAAGATGGATTAACACAGTGGTTGCAAGAGTGGGCTCAAACATAGCAATGATTTTGAGAATGGGCAGTGTTTCATTCTGTTGGACATAGGGTTGCTATGAGTCAGAAATGACTTGGCGACACCTAAAATTCTATCTTAGGTTTTCTATATGTAAATACAGCACATATCTTTTCAAATTTCTTCCAAGATAGAGCTAGAATTGAGTTTTCTGAAAAATTTAAAACTGATAGACCCATAGTGAGACTTAACAAGTGAAAAAAGAGAGAGGTCACAGATAAGCAATATCAGGAATGAAAAAAATGAGACATCATTACATCTTTTGCAGATATCAAAAAGGTAAAATACAGATATTATGAAACATTTTATGCCAATATTTTGGAATTTGGGAGCTCTGGTAGTAGTTCCTAAAGCACCTGACTGCTGACCAGAAGGCTGGGGATTCAAACCCACCAGCCACTCCTCGGAAGGAAGATGAAGGAATCTACTTCCGTAGTGATACTGCCTTGGAAACCCAAGGAGAGGTCACTATGAGTCGGGTCCTACTCGATGGCACATAACAACAACAACAACATTTTGGAATTTGGGTAATAATGTTGTTTTGGTCTTCTAGTGCTGCTCTAACAGAAGATACCACAAATGGGTGGGTTGAACAAACAGGGATTTATTCACTTACAGTTTTGGAGGTTAGAAGTCTAAGTTCAAAGTGCCAGCTCTAGGGGCTGGGCAAAACTCCCTTGACCTTGGGCTTCAGCTCTTCCTCTTGCTCCCAGCCCACTGAAGCTGGAGGCTTCTTTTAACTCAGACAGCTGCTGGGTGCTGAGGCTGACCAACCCAAGATTGACAAATAAAATGACACAGTCCCAAAATTATCAAACAATATGACAGGCCACTGCTTCAAGTCCAGGAACAATCCTAACATCACAGACAACAAGACAGGCTACTGAATGTAGTGTTGGCTACATGCAGGATCCAAGCATGCAAAAACCTCAGAGACCTTTCTCAAACCTGTCTTCTTATATACTGAAGCAGATCACATCCCTAAGGCAGTTACTCAGCTGCTCCAATAGATTCCACTATGGAATAGATTACCAGTCTCAACATGGGGAATAATTACATCCAGTTGACTAGCCACTCAAAAACAGGCCCAGCCAAGTTGACATACAACTTAACTACCAAAATTCCACCCCTGTCAACTTGGCATCTGTACACATCTCCTTCACTGGGTGGCTCCAGTTCCTCTAGTTCATCTGAATGGTGACCTCACCCCCTTGGCCTGACAGGTCCCATTCCTCTGCCTCTTGAGCATGGTAACCCTGCCCCCTCACTTTTGGGCAGAGGATATGGCCCCATCTCACTGGCCCTCATAAACAACAGCCCCATACTCCAGAAACAAATTGCTGAAGGTCTGACTCTTTGAAACCTAGGAGGCTGTGGTAGTTCCATTCCCAGATGCCATGGTCCTACCCTTTGAATCTGATGCAGCACTGCGTCCTGTTTCCTTGGTCTCTCAGCTTGTGCCAGTTAATGTCCAAAGGAAACCTATTCCACCAGGAATCTTCCTGCCCAAAGGCACTTAGCTTTCTTGCTCCAGTGGGCTGGTAAGCCTGTTGCCATCTCATGCCAATCTCCCAGCTCTGCTGCTGCCATCTCTCTGCCGAGGTATCTCTGCCTGGGTCTCAGCCCAGGGATTTTGGGTTGAGGATGCACTCCATTCCTGCAGGTCAAGGACACACTCCACTCCTGTTTCCACATTTTAGGTATCTGTCAGAGGAACACCCTACTCTGTCAGTACCAAATTCTGTTTTGGCCTTCTGGTGCCACTCTAGCAGAACAACAACAA